TCTGGCCATTTTTTGGTTGCAGCCATCATTGTTGTTTGGCGGGCCTGGGCTGGGGATTTGAACCCACCACCTTAGGTGTATGTGGCTGGCACCTTAGCTGCTTGAGCCACAGGCGCCAAGCTGGTTTTTCTTTTTTTAGAGACAGAGTCTCACTTTGTCACCCTCAATGGAGTGCTGTGATATTTACAGCTCACAGCAATCTCCAGCTTCTGGGCTTAGGCGATTCTCTTGCCTCAGCCTCCTGAGTAGCTGGGACTACAGGCGCCTGCCACAATGCCCAGCTATTTTTTTATTGTAGTTTGGCCAGTTTGTGTAGTTTAAACCCATCACCCTCGGTATATGGGGCCAGCACCCTACCCACTGAGCCACAGGCGCAGCCCATGAAATAGATGATTTTTAATGTGCTGTTTTCAAATATAATGTGAATGAAATGTTCATTGTAGAGAAATTAATCAGCATAAAGAATATATAGAATGTTTATAATATGATGTACTTAGGCATAAGTATTTTTCATATCTTGGTGTGTGGCCTTTGGAGTCTTTTATCTGTGCATGAGCACATATATGGGTATATTGTACAAAAGTTGAGCCATAGTTTATGTACTATTTTTTTCACCTACCTCTCTTACATAGAAAAGTACTGTTTCACAAGCAAGCTGTTTTCAGTGATATATTATTTATTTTATTTTTTAATTTTTTAATGGAGACAGAGTCTCACTTTGTGTCCTTCAGTAGAGTACATAGCTCACAGCAACCTCTGCCAACCCCTGGGTCCCTGGGTTTAAGTGATTCTCTAGCCTCAGCCTCCCAAGTAGCTGGGATTACAGGCGCCTGCCAGAATGCCCGGCAATTTTTGGTTGAGACGGGGTCTCACTCTGGCTCTCCTTCTGGCTCATGCTGGTCTCGAACCTCTGAGCACAGGTGATCCACCCGCCTAGGCCTCCCACAGTGCTGGGAAAGGCGTGAGCCACCACGCCCGGCCTTCAGTGATATATTATGATTATC